TCATTCCATTCTCACTGGTGTGAAACCACCTTCCTTTAAGCCAACATTGTCTCCAACCACCAGCTATAAGGTTAGTATCTTCAAGTTTGCACAAACTAATGGTCAAAACAAATCAGTGAATTGTATTGCAAATCATAAATCCCATGTCAGGGGGAAGCCCAGGGCTACTGCTGGAGTTACAGCTGCAGGAATTACTCTAAGTTTCTGCCAGGCTGAACCTGAGACCTCATAATACAGCACAGGGGCCACCTGACCTGCAGCTGTGCTGGCATCCACTTTGGGTTTGCTATCACTTCATTTGCAATAACGCGCATCTAAGACTTGTCAACATTCGATACTTCTGTCAAAGTCAATCACTTCTTTAAAGTCAGCATTGCTCCCACTTAAAAAGCAGGCAACTTGCTTTTTGCATGCAAAATAATCCCTTTCATCACAGGCACGGACTGATCCTATTTTAGTGCATAATCTTTCTGAATGAAAAAGGATACACAAATCTTGTAGTGGTTAATAAATAGCAAAGCTACTATACAAAGTGAAATAAAAGATGGAAAAGACAAAAATGTTAAATTATTTTAAGTCCTAAATGCCACACATATATCCACGTAATTTATGCTTGTTTTCTTCTCAGTTGAATTGGGAAACCTATGACCTCAGAGTGCCTTTATTTATTACATCTCAATTATTTCCATGGAAACGTGTACTGTGGCAATCTACTGGGTTGCCAGCTCCCTAGACCACAAAATGTATACAACGGACTTTTTACAAGCAGAAGATATGGGTGAATAGAAAGAAATGAAGAATTTCTTTATCCTACATGCACATATGAGCTGCCTCCTATTATCCAAAATTTCACCCAGATTCAGCTCATTCTTAGACTCCCCGTTAGGCAGCTCAAACTAAGACTGTAATTTACATCCAGTTTTTGCTGAAGCTGGAAACATATTTTTTTGTGCCTAGAGATCTCAGAAATATTTATAATCTTTAAAAACTGAGCTTCACCCAGCTCACTCTTGCAAAGACCTTCTAGATTTTTCTGCATTACAGGGATAATGTTTCTCAGCTACGACTTGCCAGTAAGCTACCTACTTTAATTCATAAAAAGTGATCATATAAATAGTGATCAGTTCTGTATCAGAATTAGAGTCAAAATTTCATTATAAAGTATCAACCACTTGCAAGAGCTATTGAAGCCTAAAAGTAATGAAGAAGAAAACAAAAGAGTAATTAATGGTAAATATCTAACATTGTATGTCACAAGATGTCAAGGTTTACTAACTGAGCTTCTAGAGTAAACACTGTTTGCACTGGCACAGAACTATTTCCTGCATGTTAAATGTGACACTTTAGCCCAGGAAAATATTTTAAACTCCAGAGGCCTGGCCACTAAACTGATCCCCTCATCTGAGAGAAGTCATGACCCAAGGCCTGCTCCAGTGTTCTCAAACTGCGATTCTTTTAGTTTCAAACAATGTATTTCAGAGCATCCCCTAGAAATAGTTCTATCTCTGCCCTTTCTTCTGCCCAGAGACTGTAACATTCATCTGCCAATTACTGAAGCAGCTCCTTTAGCAGATTGTCCAGGATTGCGGAGGGTCACAATGCCATGCTGCAAACCAGCCCCACAGCACAATGCTAAAAGGCGCTCTTAGTTTGGGGAAAAATTATTAAGGGGCTTGTGCGAAGATGAAGGACCGACTTTACAAAAACTTGACAAACATCTGAAGCACATACAACTTACACTGCAATCATCTATTAAAGAATGGATATTTCACAAATAATATAAAATGGCCCTGGATGGGGTTTCAATTTGTTCTTTAGCGGGTCGATTAACTGCACACTAATTTTGTTCACTTACGAGTTATTTAATTACAAAATCTTTGGACTTTTTGTTTCATCTTCTGGGCGTCCAAAGTTCTGATCCTTTTGTGCTTCTACAACAAAGCCACCAGTCCACTGAGTTTGCGACTTCTGCTTTGTGCAGAGGACAATAAAACCTTCCCCTACAACAGCTAACCTCCTCGTGGCTGGGAGCGAAAGGCTTCGGGAATCACGCTTTCTCTCTCGCACCCATTCACTTAAAAGTCAAAAAGCTAGCAATGCGTGCACTACGGCGCGGGGCTGGTCCCGGCCCTCCCTTTACGTTTCTCCAGCAGCTGTTTTCTTACGGAGGTAAACAGGAGATTTAAAACACCGCTTCGCAGGGCATGGAGAAAAATATGCATAGTTTAATGTCTAACCTTTACTCATAAAGCCGTTACTAAATTTGGCCATTGTTTCTTCAAGCCCAAGCAAATTCTTAACCCCTACCTATCAAATCGGGTTTAATTCTCCCCTTCTTTCACCACCCTTACGCGCATTGGACAGAAGGAGCAAACAGACGGCGCTACTATTCCCAATCATAAAGGAACATTAATTTCGGGCTAACTGGCTAAAACACGAGTGAGCTCATTCCTCCCTTCCTCGGCCCGCCGATGCGCCACCGCACCCGAGCATCACCGCGAAACTTTCCTCCCTCCCCGCCTCAACGATGCCACCGGCTTCTTTCATCAATTATCGCGACACGTGTCGCCGGCCACTCTCGGCCGGCACCGCGGTACCCACACAACCCCGGAACGGACGGCGGGCGGGCGGATGCCCTGCGTAGGGACACGCCGTCGGTTCCGGGGGGGTCTCCGCCACCACCAGCCCGTACCGGGGGGGGATTCGCAATCCCCGCCAAGCCGGGCCCCGGCCCTGATTGGCCGCGTCGCGGCGGCGGAGGCGGCTGCCCGGGGCCGGGCGGCGGCGGCGGCGGGGGCCGACGGAGGATGCCTTACCTTTCACCGAGCGGGGCTTGGCTTGCTTCCTCCTGGACATGTCCGGGCGCCGTGGCTCGTCCTCCTCCTCCTCGTCTTCCTCCTGTCCCTTCCTTCTCTTCCTCTCCCTGCCTTCTCTCTCGCCCCCCCGCCCCCCGCACCTCCAAACTTTGCGAGGCGAAGCGGCAGCAGCGGGATCGATTATTTGATTTTCTCACTTCTTTCGCCTGTTGCAATGCGGCAAGTTCAGCTCCTCTTTCTACCCCCTCGGGCACCTTCCCCGGGGAAAAAAAAAAAAATTAAAAAAAAAAAGAAAGAAAAAAGAAGAAAAATCGCGGGCGCAACAGTTGCAATGAGTCCGCGGCCCGGCCCGCAGAGCGCAGCCCCCGCGCACACGGGCCGGGCCGCGCCGCCCTTGATCTGCACCGGGGCGGGGGCACTGAAATCCCCCCCGAGCGCCAAGGGCTCAGCGGCCGCGGGGAAAGGCGCGGGCGGTTTTTAACACACGCACACACACATACACGTACACACACACACCCCTCCGCTCCCTGTTTGTGCAGAGCTGGGAGGGAGAGTTACTTTACTCTGCCTCTCCCAAGGTGTTAAATTTAGCAAGACCTGGAGTTGTCCACTGGGAAGGCAGCTTCTAGAAAAATCTGAACTTGTCATCTCACGGAGCACTTGGTGCCAAGTTATGAATGAAATTACTCAAGAGAAACACTCCATCAGTTTCCTCTCCCATTTAGACAGGGTTTGTTCGTTTCACGGAGCCTTTACTGCTGTGTAAGAACAAGGTGCATCCAGCACTTCATTTACTGTGCCACAAGCAGCGCTTAGGAATTGTCTTTCCAAGCATCCTCAGCCTGGCACGTGATGGGCCATCACGAGAGCCCAGTCGTATATCTGGACATCAAAAGAGAAGGTGTCCTGACTGAAAGGAATGGGTTTTGCTAAGATCCTGTGAAAGTAGCCCTGTCAGAGGAAGGTGCTGAAGCCAGGCCCCAGGGCAGTGGAGACGATTCAGCTCTGCCCAGCCTGCGGGCTCGCATCAAACGGGGGTGCAGGGGGCTGGGTATAGGCGCTGCTTTCTTGCTAGTGAGCTCCATCTGGAAAATATCTTCCTTTTTTCTTTTTTCCCCACACAAAAAGTAACTCAAGCAACTCAGGAATGAGTTTGTCATTTAATCAGGTGAGTTCAGTATAGAACTGTAAAAATTTCCCTTAGTGCAGCATCACATATGAATAGGTGTTCAGTGCTGATTTTCTGTTTTCTTAAGGTTTGACAGAAACTATGGGGTTTATTAATGTCATATTAATAACATTAATAACATTACAGTTCCCTCCTATTGTGTGATTCCAGATTACCACTACAGACTGGACATACAGTAAAAAATGTTTCCTGTAATGCCCTTATAATCAAGGTATAATTCCTCCCCCCCCCCACTGCACTAAGTAGCAAATTGGGAGTTCAAAAAAGCATCCTGGAACAAGGATGGATTGCTAAAGAGCCCATGGCCCCAATTCTGATTCCAATAAAAATGGGGGTAACTCTAGTTGACACAGATTCACCACAATAAAAACCAATGTGGTAGCAGTTTCTGTAAAGAAATCAGGAAAGCTGACAAGGAGAGAAAAAAATGTTGTGATACATATATGGTGAAAAACACAGGATCCTGGTAAATTTGGTCAGCATGACCCTAGATTCATACCCATTCAGCATCAGAGCTGGATCAGGAACTGAATTACTTCTGTATCCTTGTCTTATTGGAGAGGCTTAATCCCCAGGCTATCAACTTGTTTCTGTTCTCTCACTGGCCCAATGAATATTTAATTATTCTTACAAAGCAGAACAGCTTCAGCAGGACAGATTCTCATCCCAGAATGTGCTGGCGGTTGGGCACTCTCAGAGGAGTTCAGAGACCCAAATTCAAATCCCCATGCAATCAAGCAAAGAGGGGATTTCAATCTTAGTTTTACACATTCCACTTGGCAAGTAATTCCCAAGCCCCATTGCCACCCCAAGCCCCTTTGCCATCCAACCCTCTGTTCCCACATTTTCTACATTTTTTTAAAATAACTTTAAATTACACAATTAAAATGAACCAACTTTTCCCCATTTTTTAAAATTCATCAGGAAATCTATAAATTTTCATGTTAATTTTTTTTTTTACCTTTTCTGTTGTCAGAGAGCCAGTGAGAAGATTATTTGCAAGGCCCTACCCTGTTCAGAGCAAGGTGAGGAGCCCTGGTCTGAGCATCCCCAGCCCCTCCCATGAAAGCAGTTCAACTCCTACAGCTGTTGCAAAAGCAGCAACACCCTTAAAAGCAGCACCTTCCATGGTGGCATCTGTTGAGAAATACCCAGTGTATAGCCAGTGATAAAGAAAGCGGGAAGGTAGGTTTGACAGAAAAAAATGATCTGTCTTTAAATGTAGCACACACATATATAATTATTAATTCATCCCTCTCTATTATCTTCAAACCCAGCAATACACAGATTTCCTCCAGGCCCTGCTCTGTAAGTACATCTCTGCTCCACAGAGTTTTCCAACATGTGCCTAAATGCTTTGCTGCTCTATTGTCACAACACATCATTTGTGCATCTCCTCCACATATATGTACATGGAGTTTTGTGGTCCCACAGCCACTCCTGAGCAAAGAAAACCCCATAACCCTGCTGGGCCCCCCAGAGAAATGCAGAGTTCACCCATCCAGAGTCTCTTCCCAACACCAGAACTTAAACTCATATTGTCATTAAAATAGATACATTCCAAGAGTACTAATAACAAGGGAAGACTTCACAGGCTTTATTAAAATATTTAAAGCAAGTGACACCAGCCTGTGTGCTAATTTAATAAAAATACATTTAATAATTTAATTTAATTATGGTAATTTAAGAATGCAATAAAAATATATTTTGGATCTCTTATCAATCTTGTTCCCTCACAGATGCTTTTTCTTTTTATTCTGGGGAATTTTAATAAAAGCACAAAGCCGAGACTGCCAGAGTGCAGAGCTGTTCTCTCCGGGAGAGAACCAAGAGCCCTCCTGCAGCTCCGAATGACGTCCATGTCTCATCAGGTCGCTGGGACAATTTGGATGCCGGATTCTCTGCTTGTAACCCCTTTTGGGAATGTCATTGTTCTATATTATGCATGACACAGATCCTATACTATACACAACGCAGCTGCTGGTGAGAGGGAGCTAGTCCTGAGATGCAGAGGAGCCCCCCGAGCTCAGCATGGCTTGTCTGAAAACAGGATTTGCTGGTGGAGGCATCCGCCACCTCCTCCATCGGATTCGCCATCCAAGCCCCACGAGGCTGCCACGGAGGCACCGAGCCCTGATCTGCAGGGACATGGTGGTCCCTGCCCCTCCACTCACTGCCATGCTTCTCCTCAAAGACACCAGGCTGGTTTCACTGCGCTCCTTTTCTGGGGAAACTGATACACTTGCTTTTCACGACAGCTAACTCAAGATGTTGATTTCATTTTGCTTTTCTCTCTTCTGCCACGTGCATGCACAGTGAACATAATTTTTAAAGTTTGATGACTTTCAGGAAGATGCTATCCGTAACAATAGTGACATCTGAGATAGTCCCACCCTGGCAGCCTTATAGGAAACTGATTGGCCTTTCTCTGGAAAATGCAGGCGGGACTACCAGCCTCTCTACAGTTATAGATTTATTTGCATTCAATATTTAGAGCAACTGCCTATACATTTCTAAATACAGAGAATTATTTTGAAAGAGTTTCTGAATCAGTTTGCAATTAAAAATGACACAGTTGTGTAAAGGCAAAAATAAAAACTTCATAAAAGGGATGTTAAACAAGGACTATAGGAGTTAAGCACGCAATGAATCAGTCCTGCTTTGACAAAGACAGCCTCAGTAAGGATTTAAACTTTCTGAAGTCAAAAAGAGGAGTATTCAACACACAAAAAGACTGAGAGGGTGATCACCCATTACAAGGGAGCAGAGGGAAGATCGCCATAATTGTATAGCAGCCAGTAAGAGTCAACCTATAATAAAGAATATATGAGTAGACCTAATTAAGAGATGCTACATATTATCTAAGAAATGTGGCAAAAGGCTCATGCCCCAGAAAAAGCCATACTGCACAATCTGATCAGACGGTACAGCTAAAAAGACCAGGCAAAATGGGAACTGAGCAGTGCCAAGACCTGGTATCCAAGGCACTTGTACCCTCCCCAGCCCTCAGCACGGCAGGAGCTGCTCTGGCTGTTTTGACAGAGGTGGGTGAGCACCTGAGCTCTCTGGATGTGCAAAGGAATACAGGCACATGCGGGAAACTATTAAAGGACTAGATTATTTCTTAAAAGAGATAACGTTTTCAAAGCACACAGCACAATGCAATCATTCAGCAGAGAGTCAAATGTCACAGTGGATACAGCTGCAAGACAGTGTCTCTCTTTATTTACAGTAAAATATGTCAAATAGGGAACACAAAGGCAGCGTCGGGATAAACATGGGGCTGGAGCACACAAAGGCAGGCAGCATCCGCAGCGCATCAGACAACCTGAATAAAAGCCCCGATTACAATACCAGCCCAGTTTCTATGGTGCTCTTGAGTTAAACCCTCCAAACACTTTACATAAATAAATAACTGGCATCCCACATTTTAGTCATAAGCGAGGACTGACATAGCCTTAAATTTGGGCTACAGAGCAGCAGAAAGTAGAGGTGCTCCAGAGGGAGGATGTGCACAGAAAGGAAAGGCTTGACATGAAGAATCGGTGGTGTGTCTGCAGGCAGGCCACCTGAGTTTGCACTTTGGAAAGCTACAGTGAAAAGTGATCGAGATGTTATCAGTGGCATTGGAAATGAAAGGGGAAATTCCACTGTGAAACACATTTTAGTACAAACAGGATCAGGAGCCTGCTTCATGTACACATACCATGTGCACCAATATTAGTATTCATACATCTCTAATAAGCACAGCGATTTCAAACTCTTTCATTTGTGTATGGCTCTTACTTCTATCAATTTTTTTTTTTTTTTTTTTTTTCCTTAGGTAAAGAGGTTACAATAGTCTGAAATCAAGATAGAGTAAGTGGTGCAATTATGACATTTTTTGAAAAATACTATCATACCCTGAAGGTGAATTTCACAAAATACCCATCTGTAGATTAATCATATACTCGCCCCCCTCCATAGTTACAGTAAAAGTCATTACTGATAATAGGGCTAAAGACACAGATCCATGCAATGCCCTACAAATACAAGCAGGTATTCCATAGTTGACCAAGCAAAGTTTTTATTCATTTTGGCCTCTGTGCTAAAGGTGATTTTGTCAGGAAGTTCAGATCCTCTGCCTGACTCCCTCACCTAATTGCAACAAAGAATTTTCCAGGCTCTGCATCTGCCTTTTGAATATTTCTGTAATGATAACTTAGTGATAATGTTACTTAATAACTTATGATGTTTAGTATAAGAAAGTATCATGTTTCCATATTTTTATCACAGCTCAGAGAAAAGTCTCTGTGATCCACATATTCCGTGTTCTTTTCATTCCTGTTGGTCGTGGGTCTGTACTGCTGCTCAAAGGACATAAAGAATTAAAAATACATTATTCATTTGAATTAGTTAAAAGTGGATGACACCCTGGTGTAGGAAGGTGCTCGGTGGCTCTGGGGTGAGCTGGCCAGTGGAGGTATGTTACAGGTTCTCCAGCTGCTGGCTCCAGCACGGCCCGTCCCTCACCCTCTCCTTGATGTCAGCTCAGATCTGCAAGCTCCGACAAGGCATTTCTGCAATGAGGATGGGTCACTGCATCTCTTTCCCCGTGAGAGTAGTTCACTGTGCCCACTGAGACCCTTTCTTGCCAGGGTTGCGATCAAAGAGCTCATTCACTTTACCGGGCTTTGTTACTCGGGTGGAAGCTCCCCTTGTACTCAACAGGCATCTTCACTGCTCTCTGGCCAGCAGCGGTGGCAAAAGCCACCATATAGGATTTATAATTTTATTCACATCTTTGCCAGCATTGCTGACTAGGATAATGTTGAGATATGGAGAACGAAAGTAGTTGGAATGACAAGTGAAAAAGCTGCTGGAGAGGAGAGGCACAGCAAGGGCAGCACCAGGAGCTCAGCAAGGGGCTCCAGGAGCTCCAGGGCAAAGCACGGCAGCAGCCTTCAAAGCTGTTCCTTCTCCTCAGTACAAAGCCATTTAAGTGCACTCTTTAAGTTGAATGCCATGTACTTTTACATAACTGAAGGAAAACAAATACCCCATTAGCAGATAATTAGCACTTGGACTCTGAATACTTGTTTAAGGTATTATGGATCGACCTCCAGTATTAGGAGTGATTCATGTCCCCCCATATATTCAGGCATCCTTGTTTCTTTTTCTGATTATAAATTTCTGTGCCACGTATCTGTGTAATGTTTATGAGATGTTCAGAATTACACTCCAGAGACAGAAGATTTCTCTACCCAGAGAAAAGGTTTAGCAATGTTAATGGCTAATGGTGGGCACATCACTTTTCCTTCCACCTTGCAGTCAAGAAGTCCCATTCATATTATTCCGGGATCATCTCTCGAGGTGGATGGTGGATTTTCTCAGCCATTAAGCCCGGTCCCAGCAGGGGTTAGGAAGTGTTGTGAGGCCCTCGGGCAAACTCACCCCGGGAACTGGACCTGGCGGCACCCACACCATAGAAACTCTCAAAATGTGGTATCAAAGACTGCCAAAAACAACCAGGCAGCTGCCGCCTGGACCGGCTCTTATCGGGCGTCACAGAGCAACCTGTCGCCAGGGTCTGGACTTTTAGAAGCATTTTACATGGGTGGGCACAGCTTGTCTAAAAATTCGTACATTTCCAAAGGCTTCCTCTCCACTGGTATTTTCGCAATAAAATAACAGGGAGAAGCGATCTCTCCCCACCTCTGTTTCCTCATAAACCAAACAAAAATAATAGTCCTTGAGCACATTTCCAATCCTGCCAGCATTACCCAGCCATCTAATACTGCTGCAGTGTCTTTAAAAAGTGCGCACCAAGTAAAGATGCTTTGCATCAAAACCTTCTCACCCTCGAGATTGTCTCTGCCATGAAAACCATCACTGGCTGCTTTGGCAAGTAATGGTACAAAGCCAGTGCTCACAACTGCAGTACAAAGTGTCCCAGCTCAGCCTGACATCCCTGTCCCAGGTGATGCTGCCTCTCTACCCTCAGAGCTGTTCACAGGTCCAGAAAAGCAAAGTCCAAACAGCGGCTTAACATTAAACCAAGCAGCTTGAGTTTGAGAGAGAGAAGAGTCACCTCCTCTTCCAGCTCCTTCTCACTGAACCGGAGAAAAGAAAGCTGAAACACAAATCAAGTTCCATTCTACAAAATTAATCATTTTCACTTGGTTCTTTCTGTGCCGGCTTTCATTCTGTAATTATGCAAAAAGACACAACGTACTGCATGGTGCTATTGATTAGCAAACCCCACAGCTGCACGGGCGGACCCGCAGGCAGTTTTGAAAGAGGCATTTTAAAGAAAGTTTGTTCCTTAATACTACGATATTTATGGTCCCCCTTCTGATTTGGTGTGATAATGTGGATGAGCTTGTAGTGGGGAGCAAGTGGCAGTGTGAGAACATGCAGTTTTTATTCCTGCAAAAAACTTCACAAGAAAGTCACCAGGAAATTATTGAATAGAAAATTATCTCGTTGCTATTGAATTATAATGCCAAAAACCCAGGGAAAAGATCTCATTCTCTATTAAATCCAGTAAGATTTGTCAAGTAGTTTCTACAGAATGTGCATAGGTTTCTTCAGACTTCTATCAGTTTCATCTCTCCAGAGGGTTTTGGAAGGGTCAGAGGATATTTCCCTGTTATCAGCCAAACTGATGTTCTGTTTAAATCATACGATTGACAGTGTTTATTTTTCTCTTATTAGGACTCCTGTCATGGATAGAAAGGAATAAGTCTTATCAGCAATAAGGCTTACAGCCAGCTGGGTGAAATAGGAGAGGCCATAGGGTGTAAAGAGAACTGGATTTGTTTATATTTATTTTTAGAGTTTTATTTTTAAATCCTAAAGCACATATTTAAATGCATCAGTGCAAATTCTTAAAATACTTATAACAGTATCAACTTTAAAAAATTGCCCTGCTGTTTATTTGGTTATCTTGCTACATTGCTCAATACTATTGTTGTGTCCTCCAATCAGGCACCGAATGCCCAGGGTCCCGGTGTGTGGAATTTCCCAGAGGCGGGCACAAACATCCACGAGGGCAGCAGATGAAAAACTCCTGCTCCAGAAGCTTGCACACTTCTCCGAGCAACCACCACTGCTGTCTGGGTGACCAGACTCCCGTGGACTGCCAGGGGGTTTCCCAGGTCGGCACTACCATGAGGGTCCAGCTGGAAGGGCACGGCACAGCACGGCACGGCACGGCACAGCACGGAGCACCGGGGCAGTTCAAACATTGCCTCGCAGCCCGGCACGGTGGGCGCTGCGAGGCCGGCTCTGGCGGCCACAGTGGCGGCTGCAGAACTGAGTGCTCCTGTCCGCAGATCCCGGGGGAACGTGATCCTAAAGTGATGGCCGTTCTCGGGAGCCATCGCCACTCGGGGAACAACAGAATGTCAGGTCCTGACATGTCTTCTCGAGAGAAAAAACACAGCTCCGTGTGGCCACGGCGTGGGAAAGGAGGCCGCTGCACCATTTGGGAGCCCGCAGCTCTGGTGCCGTGCCCAGCCTCGGGCGAGCAGCTCGGAGAGGCTCACGGAGGCACAGCCGGGGCGCGGGGCCACGCTGGGAGCAGCTGGACAGGCCACGAATTCCTGCCGGCGGCCGGCCCGGCGGGGCATAGCAACGGGAGCCGGGGGAGGAACGGGAAGCAGCGGGAGCTGTGAGAAAGCGAGCGGCGCCGCGGGGCGAGGCGGGGGCTGGAGCGGAGGAGCGGAGGAGGAGGAGGCGGCAGGGGCGGCTCGGGCCCTCCCGCCGGGCACGGCTCCTCTCCGAACGCCACCCAAAGCCGCCGGTTTGCGGCCGCTGCGGTTCGTGCCAGCGTGCCCCGGGCTCGGCCCCTAGAGCCGCCGCGACACGCACGGCGCTGCCGCCAGCCCGCAGCGGGGCCGCGGGCGCTGCTGCCTCCCCCGCGCTGCCAGCCGCGGCACACACCGATTGCCCCCCTCCAGCACTGGCTGCCCGCCCGTACAGCGCCGCTGCTTCGGCCGCGGCTGCGGAACGGCATCGCTCCCCCGGCCTCGGGCGGCTTTGGAAGTGCTCTGGGCCCGGGGTGGCTCCGCCGCTCTGTGCAGCCGTGGCTGCTCCGCACAGGGTCCAGCTCCCGAGGGGAACCGGCCTTGGCGGGGGCAGGCATTGCGCAGCCACTGGATTTCATGTCACAAAGGATGTTTTACTGCACGGGTTTGTTCTTCTGCATGAAGAAAACGTTAACCAAAATACAGAGGAGACACAATAGCTGTACAGATACATTAAATATCTAGTTACTACGCAATAAATAATTAATAAAGTTAATCAATTTCACCATACTCTGGTCAAGTAATACCCTTACAACCAATCAATAGCAATAAGACATAATATTTGTATGAGCCTTCTCTTTGCTGTGTGATCATTAATAACCAACAGCTGAGCAGCCCCGATACACAGGCCAGCTAAAACTTCAGGAAGTTTCGATTACATCAATGATTCTGCTTTTAGTTTGTGAAATGCTCTGGAAGTGTCCAGCATATCTAACAGGCATGTAGGCTGGGGTTTCCCAATGAATTTAGGGAAGGTAAATGCCAAGTTTCTCTTAACTTTCAGTGGAAATAAGTAAATTTAGGCCTTTTCAAAACCTTAGCCTTCATATTTTGAATGGTGCGCATCAACAGTGCCAGGTTTTTACCACTTTCCTAGTTTTAGCTGCGAACAGGGAACAGGGTCCTCTCCTATGTAAGGGGGGGGGAAGACAACCTGCAGAAGATTGCTTATTTGTACAAAGTTTACAAAAGTTTGTATGTAAAGTTTACAAAACCGTCACAATTTCTCTTCTGGCATTTGCAGACATCTGCACCTGGCAGAGCTCTCAGCTGGAGGCTACTGCAGGGCTGAGTCATTTCAGAAGGTAGCAACAACTGTCCTGATTTCCTCAGGAGTTAAAATAGTTCCTGACACACAGCAGTTTGTTTCTTGTCCAGCAATTTGGAGAGGGAGGTTTGTCCCCCACAGGATGAGACATGGTGTGGGGGGCTGGTGCTCCTTCCAGGCTACTTGCCTCATTGTCCTGGGTGGACAATGCATGCAGGGGTTGGAGCCAGTGCCTTGGAGGAAACAATGTCGGCTGCTGTCTCAGGCACTGCCGTGGCAGGAGATAAAAGACGGCTTGTACCTCCAGGGGTCAGGCACCAGCCCTGAGATGGTCCTGCCTAAGGGTCCTCATGCCCCTGCTCTGCTCTGGGAGTTCTGTATGTTCAGGTGCACCTTGTCCAGCACCACCACAGGTTTTCTGTCACAGTCAGGGTGGCATTGGGACAGGGGGTGCTCTCAGGCACTCTCTGCAGCTCCTCCAGTTCCTGGGAGCTTAGTATGAACAAGGAAGTTTGCCTCTTCAGGGTATTTTTAGCAGCTTCCTGCCCAATGACCAGAGGATAAAGGCTGCCTAGCTGGATGAGAACAGGTCACTGAGACACAGTGACACTTGGTAATGAACCAAGGCTTGCCAAGTGTCAGAGCTAGCTGTGGCCTAGACTGCTTCTAAACCCCAGGCCATTGCCCTGCTTCCAGCCCACCCTTCCCCACTGCAGTGAGCTCCAGCAGTGTGTGTGAGGCTCCCAGCACAGCTGTACCCCCATCAGCCTGACCTGGCTGCAGTGTTGAGCTCACAGGGTGCAGATGGCCACCCCAGCACTGAGCGCTGGGGCCAGGCTGGGGCTGCCAAACTAAAGAGCCACAGGAGGAAGAACAGAAGAGCTTTGTAGAAATATGTATTTTTACATCAGAGTCCTTTGTATGTACAAAAAAACCCCTCCCTGCTGTGTTAGGAGAAAAAAAGTCCTGTGGGCATTTCAGACCAACCTATTTTATTAATGCAAACTGCCAGATTCAACATGTGAGCCAGCCTGAAAAACAAGAGGCTGAGAAGGATGAATGTATCCATGGTAAGCGCTCGGCAGGCCCGTCAGTCACATCACTCCTAGCTGGGAATCAGAAATAGAGGCAGGCAACTGATAGTGATGCAAAACAAAGATCTCTGTAATTTGGAGTGGGTTTTGCCAACTCTGCCTGGGGCTGTACTGTACCTGCCTTTTCCTTACTGTCAAATGACCTGAGCATTCATGGACAAAACAGTAACAGCAAACATGTTTTGGATATGGAAAATATTTGTGCCAAGTGCTGCCTACATTTGCACACCTGAGTGTGCAGACTCAGAGCAAGCTGCATGGGGCCATGGGCTGGACCCTCTGCAACACTGTGGGCTTTACACAGCCACTTGTTAATTGCTCTGTGCAGCATTGGTGTGAAATGTTCATTTAGGAGTCCAGTGTGCAATTTCAGGATATTTCAAACGATTTAAGAATAACTGCATGTCAGAAAATGTCTATAAAATGAACTCTCAAGAAAAGATGTGAAAAATTTAAACCCCAAGTCATTAAATATTCACGGTGATGTATTTGCTCAGCTCTAATCAGCATCTGAAGAAGGCTGATAAATGCTGCTTGTGAGTAGTTCAAGTAGCAGGATAGGTTAAAGTAAAAAAGAAAGTTAAATCCCAGGATATTAGCAGTCAGTAGAGGGAATTACTTGTCCAACAACAGGATAAAAACCAGGTTAGGATAAAAGACTTTCCCAGATAAATACAATGGGCTCATTCCAATGGCTGTCTCTGGAGATGCAGACACCAATCTCCAGGAAGGGACAGAACTCCAGGTGGTCTCTCCAGGGACACACAGCAAAGAGCACCCATCTGCCCTCACAGGGTCTTCTCTTCCACCAGCCACCTAAAGAAACAGGGTACGTTTGATTTCACTGCCTCTCTAATGCTGTCAGAAGTTGGTACAGATATGCACACACAGAAGAAGGTTGCAGAGTCCAGTTTCACTATGAAACCACACTCCAAATCCCTCTCACTATTTTTGTTAGCAGAAAATATGTCTGTGAAGGCAGGGCACAGAGGACCAGAGCAATTCTGGCAGAGACAGGAGCAGGAACAGAGATAGAAGTTAGGCTCTGGAGTCAACAGAAGTGTGGTTGGGTTTTTGATGGCCTTGGGCCAGTGCCTCTCTGACTCTGTATCCATGAGAAGTGAGAAGAGCAGTTACCTCTGAGAACTGCACATTTGAGCATATGCCATGAGGAAAACAGTGCTCTTGAATCACTCTGCCTCAGTTTCACCAGGAGCAAACCAAGCCAATAACTTCTATGTCTCTCTGGGGAATGCTCCATGATTTAGGCTGTATTTGGGTCATAAGAGACTTCAAAGGTCCTTTGAGCAAAAGCATTAAAGTGCTGCAAAATATGACAAGCACTGGTAGAGAGTGGCCTGGCAGTAAGGCATGCCTGAGCTACAAAATTCTAATCTTGCCTCCCCAGATGATTTTATCAGCCCTGCAATCACTTTTGCAGCTCTTCCTTGAACTTTTCCTTGCTCTAGGTATTTTTTTGTACAAAATGGGATGCCCAGACCCATCATGCTCTGACCCTGATGAGACCCTGACACACCTGGGTGGTCTCAGAGGGATGTGATCACCAGCCCCACTGGAACTCCTTTCTCCCAGCGCCTGTGCGTTATGATGATGAGCTGGGTATCCCTCAGGAGCCCAAGACTTCACATGAGGAAGAGAAAAATCTAAATACTATGGAGGAGGTTTAGACACTGTCAGAAGACAAGCCATGGAAAGAGCTTGCAAAGAGTGTTACTAAATATTTTATGATCAAATAAACCTGACATCTTATAGAGTTTTGGTCCATTATTTTTGTTCAAATTATATGTGCATCTTCTAATAAATACCTCTGCAACCATATACACAAAACATGGGAAGGACAGAGAAAGAAAAATCTTGCTGAACAAGGGAGTTACATACTGTAGGAATGCAGGAGTCTGTGATCTGCGTTATTTCTTTGCTTAAGGCCACCTAGCAACAGCACATAGGTTAATCCTCCACAGACTGAACAGACAGCATCAGCCAACAAGAAAACAAAACATCTCTGCTAGAAAAAAATCAGAACAAGGATTACCCGTTTGCAAGAGGGTTGTAGGAACAGAGAGCAACAAATAAGAAAGAGGTATACATGATACTCCTGCAAAAGGAAGATTTCCCTGTAAATAGAGTTATTGTCCACCTTGTTATTAAAAATACAAAAAGAGCTTTACAACATTTACAGAAAACCTCAGTGGGAGCTGCGGGAGCCCTGCTCCACAGGGAGCTGGGGAGATGAGCTGTGGTCAAGGCTGGTTGCCATCTTAGAGAGTGCTTTTAAATGATAAATAGGGTGTCCTCTAAAACAAAAAATAAACCTCTGGAGCCATATTCCTTCTGCCAGGGCTAGCAGCACCTTCAAGGGCAGGTTCAGATCTCTACAAGCATTTCTTGGATGTTAAGACATGCCATCACTTTCTTAAAGCCATTGTTTGCAGTGACTCAGCCCACTCTCTTTGCAGCTCTGCCAGGCTCCCCCACACCAGGACATTCTGCTAAAGGGGCCCGGGAATACAGAATTAACTCACCAGGAGATTCCCACTGTGCCAGGGCTGCTCCACACAGCTGCTGTGCCCTAGAGAAGACAGCCTGCAGGGCTCGCTGGCCCCAACACCTGCTGTGCCTGCAGAGCCTGTGCTTCGCAGCACACAGGGTGGCCTTGGCAAAGCTGCAGCCCAGGAGGTGTGCTGTCCCCCTGACATTGCCATTCCTGCCACTCTCCCGAAGGAGAGCCACCAGGGATGGGATTTTGGAGAAAAACAAGGTGGGAGGCCACCACTTCTTGCCAGCCTGCTGCAGTGCTCTGCCTGTGTTCCCGCTGCCGGCTGTGCCCCAAGCTGAGTGTCACCTGCTGCTCACCAGTGCCAGCACAGCCGGCACTGTCCCCAGGGCAGCTTCTGACCCAGCCTTTCTGAGGGGTCCGTGCAGCACAGCACACCCCCCTGTGCTCGCTGAGGAATGGTGGCCCACGTGGTGCCACGTGTACCTGCGTGTCTGGGATGTGATTTATGGAGGGTTTATTGTTGCTCCTTTTCTGCTGTTCACCAACAGATGGTAGCAGCACTGCTGCTGTCATGCCAGGCCCGAAGCTGCTCGCAGTAGGTGTTGACTTCTGCTCTGAAACTTTTCTACTTGATGAAAAGTCATGCTTGCCCATCTCCTTGCCCCTCACTAGCTGCATCTGTAGTGCAAATTCAGAGAACACATTCTCTCCCAGCACATCATATTCTCAATTTAAAGCTCTAGGGAGGGACATGGGCAGTTGTTGGGGTTGAATCTCTGTTCACTGAGGCTGA